ACTTCAAATTTACAAGAACCTGTTTAAATTAGAATTGGACTTTGCCTTTTTATAATGGACACTAATACTCCCACAAAAAACATCCAATCAGGAAAAAAATGCTGGTATTTTAAATAATTGCATGTGTTGTATGAAAAAGAAATAAACATGTACAAAGTTACTAGAGACGTAGTAGATACGTTTTGAAAGGCTATTGTTAGAAATGAATAAATCATCATTTAAGGTTTTGGTTAATACCTCTACAATAAAAAAGGATCCAACCAACAGGAGGGTTGTTGCAACAGATGTTAAACCGAAGAAAGTATCAGGTTTCTTAAACAAAACAATATTTAAAAATACATCTTGTTTGGCAAGTGTTTATAACTCGAATTGTGTACAGGTTGTTGAAATTACTTGTGTTGTTTGCTTTAATTATAGTATTAGTAATGCTGTCAGTAACAATATTTCAAACAAAAAACCGAAAATAAAGGATTACGAGACACACTCGTGCCCGAGGATATTTAAACGGTAACATCCTAAGTAAACTTTAAATAAAGATAAAAGACGGGGGAAGGTTATTTGTTTTTACATGGGTTTCTTACAAATAGAGCAGTTTTTTGAGGTAAAATATTCATTTAATTGAAATCCCGCTGAAAAATTCAATTTACCTTCTGAAGGGGTAAAAAAAATGACTTTCAATTCAGGAGAAATATATTTATATTTGTCAGTGACAGGGGTCCATTTCGGGACAAAACAAATGAAATATCCCCATATATCAAAATAAATTTCCTGAAAAATATCATAAATGTTTTTGTTTATGTATACGCGTGGTACACATACATATAAGAATTCACTTTGTAATCCCAACATATTGAATTGATTAAATATGCCGGAGTTACCATAAAAAGTTATTAGGAGGCTTTGCATTTTATTACGGCCGGCGTGAATTGTAGGAAATTGGGGTTGCAGGGGATTTCGCTAGACGAAGTGCGTTCATTATGCAAAATTTATGTCAATCATTACCATTGCTTCTGACACGGGAATATGATATTTCACAATATATCGCGGGGCTGCAACGAACAGGCCGACCCGACAATGAGCACATTAAATGGGACATTCCCAACATCCAATCTATGTTGCTTATCCCCGTTATCGCGCTCTTAGACACAAACACACCTGAGCACATTAACTCAAACCAATCAGCAACCATTTAACCCAAATTCTTCCAAAATTGTTTCAAATGCTATTGATCTCGATTTAAATAATACGAGTACATTATATTTCAATATTGGCATTATTGAAGTGAATGTTTTAGGCGGTTTGTATCAGATTTATAAAAACAAAAAAGACTGCAGTGCAACAGAGATTGGTAAAAGAGGACCAATGGAAAGGCCTCACAGATCTCCAGATCTAACACCATTTGACTTTTTCTTGTGGGTTCACTTAAAATCTGTGCTCTAATTAATAAGCTTTCGCCGCCGTGTTTTATATACTTTTTTTTTCAAGCATTTAATTAAATTATTTTTGTTACATTATTTTTAGGTTAGGTTTAACTGACATGACATTTTAGCTTTATTTTTGTACGGAGTTACTAATAATTGGACTTTTGAACTAGGGATTATATACAGTCTTTCTATATACATATATATATATATATAGACCAATGAGTCTAAAAATATGAAAATTATTGTACGGTTAAAAAAATAGTACATTAGCGAACAGGATAAAAATTTTGTTTAATGGTCTTTTGTGTATTCAAACAAAAATACTAAAATATACCAAAGAACAAGTTTTCTTGTATATAAGACGAGTCTACTAATGTTTTGACTAGATTGTACAAGTTAGGTAAAAGATTTGTAAAACATCTGTATGGTAAAAATTCATTCATTTGGCGGTATTAAAAAATTATTGTACGGTTGAAAAAATAGTACATTATCGAACAGGATAAAAATTTTGTTTAATGGTCTTTTGTGTATTCAAAAAAATATAGTTTTCTTGTATATAAGACCAGTCTACTCATGTTTTGACTAGATTGTACAAGTTAGGTAAAAGATTTGTAAAACATATGTAAAGTAAAAATTCATTCATTTGGCGGTATTAAAAAAGTATTGTACGGTTGAAAAAATAGTACATTATCGAACAGGATAAAAATTTTGTTTAATGATCTTTTGTGTATTCAAACAAAAATATTAAAATATACCAAAGAAGAAGTTTTCTTCTATAAGAGCAGTCTACTCATGTTTTGACTCAATTGTACAAGTTAGGTAAAAGATTTGTAAAACATCTGTAAAGGAAAAATTTATTCATTTAGCGGTATTAAAAAATTATTGTACGGTTGAAAAAATAGTACATTATCGAACAGGATAAAAATTTTGTTTAATGGTCTTTTGTGTATTCAAAAAAATATAGTTTTCTTGTATATAAGACCAGTCTACTCATGTTTTGACTAGATTGTACAAGTTAGGTAAAAGATTTGTAAAACATCTGTATGGTAAAAATTCATTCATTTGGCGGTATTAAAAAAATATTGTACGGTTGAAAAAGTAGTACATTATCGAACAGGATAAAAATTTTGTTTAATGGTCTTTTGTGTATTCAAAAAAATATAGTTTTCTTGTATATAAGATCAGTCTACTCATGTTTTGACTAGATTGTACAAGTTAGGTAAAAGATTTGTAAAACATCTGTATGGTAAAAATTCATTCATTTGGCGGTATTAAAAAAATATTGTACGGTTGAAAAAGTAGTACATTATCGAACAGGATAAAAATTTTGTTTAATGGTCTTTTGTGTATTCAAAAAAATATAGTTTTCTTGTATATAAGACCAGTCTACTCATGTTTTGACTAGATTGTACAAGTTAGGTAAAAGATTTGTAAAACATCTGTAAAGGAAAAATTCATTCATTTGGCGGTATTAAAAAATTATTGTACGGTTGAAAAAATGGTACATTATCGAACAGGATAAAAATTTTGTTTAATGGTCTTTTGTGTATTCAAAAAAATATAGTTTTCTTGTATATAAGACCAGTCTACTCATGTTTTGACTAGATTGTACAAGTTAGGAAAAAGATTTGTAAAACAGCTGTAAAGTAAAAATTCATTCATTTTTCGGTATTAAAAAATTATTGTACGGTTGGAAAAGTAGTACATTATCGAACAGGATAAAAATTTTGTTTAATGGTCTTTTGTGTATTCAAAAAAATATAGTTTTCTTGTATATAAGACCAGTCTACTCATGTTTTGACTAGATTGTACAAGTTAGGTTAAAGATTTCTAAAGCATCTGTAAAATAAAAATTCATTCATTTGGCGGTATTAAAAAATTATTGTACGGTTGAAAAAATAGTACATTATCGAACAGGATAAAAATTTTGTTTAATGGTCTTTTGTGTATTCAAAAAAATATAGTTTTCTTGTATATAAGACCAGTCTACTCATGTTTTGACTAGATTGTACAAGTTAGGTAAAAGATTTTTATCTATTTTGGTTTCATAATGACTTCATTATAACACCGCTTTTGGTTCTTTAATGAGGTACTTTATTCCACCCAAAATTTTGATTTTATAGGTTGGCTACTGGTAAAATACAATTTTGAATACCTATAGGTTATAATATTTTTATGATTTGTTTTCTAGTACTTACGAGACTTTGCAATAAATTTTGTTTAACACCAAAGAAAATCCTTTTTTCTTCTTTAACAGCCGCTTATTGTAAATACTTATTGTAAATTAACGACGCCATAGCGAAAGAATGTGATAATGTTTGAAAGGTTAATGACCTTTCAAACTTCAAACTGAGATACCAACTATGTAAAGTAAAATTCGACCAAATTAAATATAAGGAATAAAATTAATTTGTTTTATGAAATGTTTGCAAAATAGATAAAATAGCATAAAGAACTCATGTCATAAGACCTTTTGTCGCACTTGTCCATTATAAAACTCGCTCCTTCGTCGCTCGTTTTATAAATTGTCCGCGTGCGACAAAATGACGTCTTATGACATTAGTTTTTTAATATACTAGTAAAACAGCTGTAAAGTAAATATTCATTCATTTGGCGGTATTAAAAAATTATTGTACGGTTGGAAAAGTAGTACATTATCGAACAGGATGAAAATTTTGTTTAATGGTCTTTCGTGTATTCAAAAAAATATAGTTTTCTTGTATATAAGACCAGTCTACTCATGTTTTGACTAGATTGTACAAGTTAGGTAAAAGATTTCTAAAACATCTGTAAAGTAAAAATTCATTCATTTGGCAGTATTAAAAAATTATTGTACGGTTGAAAAAATAGTACATTATCGAACAGGATAAAAATTTTGTTTAATGGTCTTTTGTGAATTCAAACAAAAATATTAAAATATACCAAAGAAGAAGTTTTCTTTTATAAGAGCAGTCTACTCATGTTTTGACTCAATTGTACAAGTTAGGTAAAAGATTTGTAAAACATCTGTAAAGGAAAAATTCATTCATTTGGCGGTATTAAAAAATTATTGTACGGTTGAAAAAATAGTACATTATCGAACAGGATAAAAATTTTGTTTAATGGTCTTTTGTGTATTCAAACAAAAATATTAAAATATACCAAAGAAGAAGTTTTCTTCTATAAGATCAGTCTACTCATGTTTTGACTCGATTGTACAAGTTAGGTAAAAGATTTGTAAAACATCTGTAAAGTAAAAATTCATTCATTTGGCGGTATTAAAAAATTATTGTACGGTTGAAAAAATAGTACATTATCGAACAGGATAAAAATTTTGTTTAATGGTCTTTTGTGTATTCAAACAAAAATATTAAAATAGACCAAAGAAAAAGTTTTCTTGTGAAAGACCAGTCTGCTCATGTTTTGACTAGATTGTACAAGTTAGGTAAAATATTTGTAAAACATCTGTAAAGTAAAAATTCATTCATTTGGCGGTATTAAAAATGCAAAAGGGGGAGAGGCATTTATGTGTATCAAACAGTTTGATTCCCCAATATTAAACATATTCTCTAATCTGATATTCTGTTTGTTGTGTAGATTTGAGTTTCTCTCACATGTGCCCTTTGCCGAATACGAATAGCGAGAGGCCGTTCGTGTTTACTGATTGGAATCAAATGGGCAGAGTTTTGCGGCAAATCGCTGATGATTTACACAGGATATCAACAACTGATTTGGTAAGTACACTTGTTGTTTAAAACAGTTGGTAAAAAAAATTGATATTTTTGGTATTTTAAACTAAAGAAGGTTGAAAAAATAATTTTTTGGGGTGTGCTATCATTTAAATATGGCGACTTAACACTGAATATTAAAAAGCGTCGTTAAATTAAATACGGCATCGACCGTGAAAAATGTAAATGAAATTTCCAGACCCCAATGTACTCTTAATTATCGTATACGATGCGTGGAGGTCGAAAGGCGACATCGTTGTATGATGAATACCGTAAAGTGAGTAAAAGGGGTAGTCCTGACCGGATGACCATGCCAACCGCACTCTTAAGGGTTGACCATCCTCTGACTGACCACCACGCTATCAGCTACCATATAATTGTTTGTTTTCTCACGCTTCAAATATTCCACTAATTGATCTCCAATATTAAAGCTTATTCGTGCGATAGCGAATCCAGAACAATGTTCATCCCCTTGTTACGCGCTTTGTCCCTTCCGAAAATAGAAAATTCCACCCAATTAACAGTTTTCTTTACTCCGATAAACTAATTGCCCACATCAAATCTATATTTTCGCCATCAGAATCCTATTGGTATCAAGGCGAAGTTTCTTAAAGCTATCATCTTTACTTTCTACAGAAAAAAACTCTATAGAAAGCAATAAACCAATTAGAGCACGGGATTCTCCACTGCACGTAGTGTGCATTGGAGAATGCGTGCTCTGATTGGTTTATTGTTTTCTATAGAGATAATTTTCTATAGAAAGAAAAGACGCAAATTTCAAGAAACTACTAATTAGAATAAATCTGTATGTTTCTTAGGAAGATTTTAAAAAGCTTCTTACAATTAGTGAAAGGCATATTATTTCTATTTTTATTATCATATCTAAATTTTGCCTTCACAGACTTATCGGTATCGGGACGACGTTTCTTGAAATTAGCGTCTTTACTTTCTACAGAAAATGATCTCTATAGAAAGCAATAAACCAATTAGAGCACGGCATTCTCCACTGCACGTAGTGTGCATTGGAGAATGCGTGCTCTGATTGGTTTATTGTTTTCTATAGATAATTTTCTAAAGAAAGTAAAGACGCAGATTTCAAGAAACTACTAATTAGAAAAAATCCGTATGTTTCTCTGAAAGATTCTGAAAATCTTCTAACAATTAGTGAAATGCGTATTATTTCTATTTTTATCATCATATCTAGATTTTTGCCATCAGAGGCCTATTAGTATCAGGGCGACGTTTCTTGAAATTAGCGTCTTTACTTTCTATAAAAAGCAATAAACCAATTATAGCACGGCATTCTTCACTGCACATAGTGTGCTTTGGATAATGCGTGCTCTGATTGGGTTATTGTTTTCTATAGAGATAATTTTCTATACAAAATTTTAAAAAACTACTAATTAGAAAAAATCCGTAGGAAGATTCTGAAAAGCTTCTTACAGTGAAGGGGCTATTATTTATATTGCAGTAAGCATTTTTGGAAAATTAAAAAAATATAGGTAGTATACCCCTAAACGTTGATTCGCTGTATTAAAACTGTGTGTATCTGAAAGTAGAGTTTTCATATTGAAGTTTTTTTGGAATAGTAGTGCTTAACAATGATGAATTTAACGAGTTGGAAACTCCGGCAAATTGCCAATTACTCCAAACCAAATGAGATTGAAAACTCTAATTTCATGTGGAATAAATTACGTATTTTCGAACGGTTACTTATGAGTGCATTAGAAAAGTTTAATTACAATGTTATTGTTTTTTATCGGATGATGACAATGTGTGCCGAAAAAGCTGGGCAATTTTGAAATTAAATATGGCGCAGGTCATTACACGATTCGGTTACAATTCCATTTTACTACTACATTTATAACCCGTTGTTCGAAACTTTTATGGCTTTATATCCAAGAGCATAAAAGTCCTCGTGTGTGATTGTAAATAGGATATTAAAATAATTTATTCAATTAAATTAATAGATACGCTGTTTCGTCCAGAATTCTCACAGGTGTGCAAAAGTCCAACTGACTTTTAAGAAGTTAGCGATTCAGCCCTCGACGTAGGTTTGAAGCTTGTACGTGCACACGCCTGCTATATGTAATATAAGTTATGCTGGTCATCGCCGTTCGCCAATTATGCTTTAATACTTATAGCTGTACCCGCATTATTTTCGAATTGGTAATGCAAATAAGACTGAAACAAAAGGGTCACATCGCGCATTGGTCACTGTCCTTTACATCCCTAACCCGCGTTACGTAAAAATATCATCTATCAATTTTAATAAAAGACCGGTCAAGTATAGTGGCGAACTTATTCTGTGATATATTTAATAATCCGCCTTTGTTGCGTGGGATATCATGTTCCCCAATCAAAAAGTAATTCGATATATAAAAGCCAAGTGGACACGGAAAGCCGAGTGAAAAGCACAAATAAAAAATAATGATGTATCGATGATGGGATTCCATTAGAAAGTGGTCCAAAGACAACAAGTTGTAACACGAACCCCGCCCGGAGCCAATTGTCCGGCTCCGCAAGATGAAAGATGCTTTTCAATTTTAAAAGGACCCTCCTCACTATCCCCAAATACTATTAAAACAGAAAACAAAATTTAATAAGCCCAAGACAAATTGCATTACCCTCGAATCATTTTTTTGGTTTCAAGACCATACGCCAAAAACATTCGAAATTGTGTTTTTCAAATCCTTACTCTCTTAACATGAATTAGTCAAAAATAACTAATTATAAGTCATATTGTCGTAGCGAAAAAGTAATAATTAGTCAAATTCTACAGAATGAAATAGTCAAATTAGTAGATTTAAATTTAAAAAAGTTCTGACCCAGGCGGGGATTGAACTCGTGTTTGTCGCTTGTCATAACCAATGCGCTATCGATCACTTTTATAAAAATCTGTTTTATTTGTCCATAAATATTGTTCATAAAATTTTAAGGTTGAATATATTTTTTGTTTTGCTATTTGAGCTAAACTTTTCGCATCTTTGTTTGTTTTACGGGCCATATAACCATGGAGCCTATATGCATTTAACTCAAACAATAATTTGTTATTGGCCGCAAACGATTAAAGAAATTAGTTACTTTTAACTATCAGAAACAGTCAAAGATGATGACTTATTTTAAATTAGTCAAAAGTGAAAACGAATATATAAAAAATGCTGTTACTAATTCATATAGTAGGTACAGTTTTGACTATATCTATTCTAAAACATGTTTTGACATGCTTAAATTGGTTTTGGCATTCCTAACTAAATATGTAAATAATTCAAAAGCGTTATCAGTGAAGTTAAATTTTTAACGAGATTTTCAATTGACAATCTAATGGATGACCTTTTTTGCATGGCATTAAGATTTGAATTTGGGAGACCAGTGTCCATTTGAATGACCGCGTAATTCTATTTGCATGCGAAATGAGGACCCTCGCCTAACACAATTAAGCTAAGCTTTGCATTATTCCACTCTTCATTTGTTGGTTGTCTTAAATCCTTATTAATGGTTCGTGCTACACTATTAACGTTCAGTTTTGTTAATTGCTACTGGGAATCTCGCACGAAGGGGACATTTAATTATTCGAGGATTTACATTTGGGAATATTATCATAATTTTAAAGTTTTGTTGAAACAGTGTATAAGTAACCTGATCTGCAATTAACCGACTAAGCTTTACAAATTGTACAAAGTAACGGTAGTAGAAAAAATTAATATACAGGTATATAGTCAGGTTGAGTGTGGCTAGTTAATATCAGGTTGATATGCAGAGACGGTCTAAGGCCTCCGTCCCCCATAATTAAAGTAGTACAGGTTTTCTCATTCCCTAGAGCCATCTTGCTTACTGTATAAGTATTACGCAGTTTACTAATCAGTTCTATACGGATATACATAAATTTTAAACCACTGCATTACACCCAAGTACAACAATTGGTAAGTTTTTTTAACTTGTTTTTTAACCAATTAGTTGTATTCAACCATTAACATTTTGAAACTATGAAAATTAAAATAACTCTTAAAATTTACCAACCGGTTGCTATAACCTATTGGTAATATTACTAACTAGTTAAATATTTGGTTTATTTATAGTGAATTTTAACTCATGAAGTTAGTAACTAGTTATTTAAAATATAAAAGTATTACACAGTGCAACAGCAAAAAAAATGATGGGGTTCTGAAAGTGGTTTTCGTTTCTCCTATCCAAAGAATGCCTTTTTGCGTTTACAGAATGTTTAGATTGATTCAGGTTTTTTTTTAATATCGATTTTATGTTTTATTAATTTTGGAACCCGAAAACCCGTTATTTATTAATTTAAACCAATTAACTGGTAGGAAATTGGAAATAACAATAAATTAAAAAGAAATAATAAAAAATAAAACAAAAATTAAAAATGGGTGTAAACATGTCACTAAAAGTACATTTGCTCCATGCACATCTTAACCTGTTCGAAAATCGGCTGTTCACCAAATCAGAAGAGCATCAAACAATAATGGAAATGAAAAATCGTTATAGAGGAAAGAGGTTTGATTCGATGTTGGCAGATTTTTGTTGGTCTATGGCAATGGAAATTTTGGCATAAAATTATAAATAAAATTTGTTATATCTTTTATGTTGATTCATTCTATTTGTTAAAAAGAATATGTTTTTAATAATTAATATAATAATAATAATAATAATTACCATAATTACTAAGAAATTGCACTACAACATATTAAATCCAGAAAAAGGTTCAATTTTTTAAAAATATTGCATTTTATTGTTCTCATTATTTTTTTATTTAATTATTTTTTTCTTTATTTGATTGTTATTACTTTATAAAACAATATACAAAACCAATAATTATCTTTTATGTACTAATTATTTATTATTTTACGATATTTCGGGATCCAAAATTACTAAAACCTTAAATTGATATTAAAAAAAATACAGAATCAATCTAAACATTATGTAAATGCTATAATTCATGATTTTAATTATATATAAATTAAGGAGGCCAAAAAAATATAAATGTTTAG